CTTTAAGTCCTGTGGACTTCAACTCCCAGAATCCCCCAGCCAGCACAGCTGTGCTGGCTGGGGGATTCTGGGAGTTGAAGTCCACAGGACTTAAAATCGCCAAGGTTGGGAAACACTGCCCTAAGGTCTTGAGTGTGGGTGAGCTGCTCTTTGATCATGGGGGCATTGCAAGGCCTGGAACTTCAAGAATTGGTTCTAACCTATTATTCATTTAGCATGGCCATTAATTTTGAACAGTCACTGAATTAGTGGTTGTTAAGTGAGGATTACCTACATTTGGCTTCATTCAAAGTAACTTGAGATTTCTTTGTGCAACTATTGATTGAATCTTTTGGCAGAGTGCCCAGATCACTTATGAATGAATACATTGTCCAAAAGTTGGTTTTCCTGTTTGTTTTACTCTTGGACAATAGTAAATGGTAGCAGAATGACATGACTATTTTTGGCATCCTTCAGACGTTCTTATAATAGCTAGTCTTGAAGATCATTTCTGGTTTTTTTTTGGGAGGGGGGGGGACGACAAGATTGATCTTGATATAAGTTTATCCAAGGGGAAGCTTTAGGTAGAAAGTAATTTCGCCTTCTGTCAATTTCCCTTTCAGGTAACTAGCTTGGTGTTATTTATTTGTTTCTTTGCTAAAAGAAAACTTCTTTTAAAGATTCCAAGGAGTAAAGAATGCTGAAACTATGTGAACATTATCAAAGAAAAATGTATTTACCAATGGTTAGATTTGTGGTAGCAGCTCAGAATCTTAGATTTGATAACAATTATAAGGTTCTTATTTATTTAAAGGGAAAGTATTTCCTATTCAAATTCTGTGGATGCTCTCTACCATATTTAGAAAGCCATGTATTGTAATAATAGTGACAATATTGTGCGTGCATGTTGGACAAGCAGACTTACAGAGTTATTAAGATGTTTTTAAAACAGTTTCTTCATATTTCTAATCTTATGGTATCCTTTATTTTAGGTGGTACTTTGCAGTTATTTCTGTCTCTGGAGTCTTTGCAGTGACGTTTTCAGTGGTATTTGCATATGTAGCTGATATAACCCAAGAACACGAAAGAAGCATGGCCTATGGCTTGGTATATGCAGTATTTATATATATGTATATGTTTTCTGAGGTTTTCGCGGGTGTTAGTATGTAGGTCTTTGGTTATTCGGGTTTTCTCCCGCGTAAAATTGGAAGTGTCTTGGCGACGTTTTGACGAAGTCTCATTCGTCATCTTCAGGCTTGTTTGCTCGGGCGAGCAAACAAGCCTGAAGATGACGAATGAGAC